ACCACCAACCCAAGCTTGTGGGCATAGCAGCGAACGTGGTTCTTGGCAGAGTCCCAATTGGCCTGGTTGTTGCATTTGGAGAACATAATCTCCATCTCCCGAGCCATTGTATTGTTGGAAGATCCAGAGTCGGTTGTCTGGCCTAACATTTCATCAAAAGAAATAAAGAAAAGATTAAAAGAAAAGGTTACCAATCAAAAAAGTGAAAGAAATTCTCATAAAAAGACTTATCTTCTTATGAAGACCATGTGCTATGAGGAATCGAGCCACTGGTTGTGCCAGTAAGTACCCAAGCTTGTTCCATGCAACTAGCTTGAGGCTAAGATGGATCGTTTGATAGTTCCATTGGGCATTGATGAAGTTTGTGGAAACCCCGATAAAGGCGTACCTGTTACCCTTGGTGGTCCACACATTGTGGACCAAAGAAAACTTGCTTGCATTTTCCTGAGATCAAATCGAATCAGTCAGAATTTAGAATGTTTGAAAGATATAAGTAGAGGAACTTACATATACCAAGGCTATCGCCGCTGATCTCAAGCTACAGTACAACTTCTTGGCTACACCAGCTGCCCAAGTCGGACTCCGTAATTCGGCACGTTGGTTAGCAAGCTTGAAAGCAGCGCGGAGGGGGATGTCGTTGAAGCGATTGAAAGGGAGGGCGTGTTTCAATACCCACATCACCAAGACCGTGTTGCATAATTCAACACTGAAAGTCAAAGATGATAGAAATGCGTCGAGGGTGAGTTGGCCATTTGATTCACTTGAAGCCGCTGCGTTGGCTGCTTCCTCTTGAGACCAAGTGAGAGGAAGGACACATCCTGCTCGTATGGCACGAGCTCTTTGAGGGCAAGAGGCTCGACCCTTACCACCATCCCAGTGGGCGTAGATGTTATAGAAAGTATGGAAGCCACAAATGAATACACTGTTACACCATCGACACTTATATCCTCGCGGATCATCACCAGTCTAGGAAACGACAATCATAGAAGATAGGAAAGTCAAAAAGAGATGAGAAACAACATTAAGAGAAAAATAAAGTGAAAGTGAAGTGAAACACATGACTGACCTCATTTTTCACATGAATGGGTGGATAGAAGTACTCTAACAACATGGCAAGTCGAACTGGACCGCGTTTGACACCTTCGGTTTCAACCACCTCAACATCGGAGTCCTGGTTAACATCAACACCATCCGGTATCCCGATCTACGGTGATTGGAATAGACGAGACAAGACTATCAGCTGTTACTTGAATGAATGATGATAGAGAGATTGAAGTGGAAATGAAAACCCAAATGAATACGCACAGGTACAGTGGCCCTTGAGGTAGGCTAGCTGAGGCACCAGAACCTCTCGGTCGACCCTCAGCCTTCGCACGATTCTTCGACTTTTGATTCTTCTTCTTTTTCTTTGAGAGCACCTTGAGAAAGTCTTTGGCTTTGGTGACCTCTACAACCGAAGTATCAGAGCCAATTCCAGAACTTTTCGGATCATATGGTAAGTCTAAATCCAGGTCCGGTAAATCACTTTCACTAGAAATTGGACGTTGAACAGAAACTTGCGAATCAGGGGATTGGATGACATATCCCGGTTTAGGACCCGTTGGGCTTCTTGGACGAAGACTAGGACCATTGATCGAAGCTGGAATAGCAAGTCTAGATTGTGAATGAGCCATTGTAATACTATTAATATTGATAATAATGAGCACGGAGTTTAACAAAAGGTAAGGGTACAGGTTAGAATTCAGAAATCTTTGTAAAAAAGTTGATAATCAATTTTGCCTTAATCAAAAGGAAAGATTGAGGAAACGCTCACCTTATATAGACTGAAAGAGGGTATGATCGGCTGGTGCAAACAAGGGAAGGGGTAGATTGTGTCATGTCGGTCTTCAAATAGGAGATTTTGAATTTGGAGAGGGGGCATTGATTGTTTGAGGAAGTCCAGAGATTGTTTAGGTGTGTTGACTGACGGAAAAAGGGTATTGCTGAGCTGTTGGGGTGGATCTTGTTGGAAATCAACATCTGCTAGAGGTTGGTGGAGGTGTTTGGTGGCCGTGCGAGGTATTTGAGGTGATGGTTGGGGTGGAAATGCAGCCTGAAGGATGATCAATCTTGATATCTGTCAGGCTGCATGGGTCTAACGCTGCATACCGCTCTATGCAGGGAGCGTGAAGCGGAACTTTACGGTGCCTCGCTAATTCCGTGATCCGCTCTGCGGGATTTCCCACAGATGCAGCGTTAGCGGATTGGGTAAGCCAGCTCCCGGGTTTTTTTTGAGCGGTGGCGGGGCGGTCCGCTCCGCTCCCGCCCCTCTACCGCTTTTTGCAGCTGAGCGTTTCATGAGGCATTGGTACTGGCCAGCCCAAACAATGTACTTGCGAGTAATCTAAAAAACTTGCGTGAGATGCGACAGTCCTTTTCACCAAAACTTAAGATTGTCTTTCCTCACATGACTCGCGCATCTAGGCCATCTGGCCTGATGATGAAAAATATGTGCAGGCCTTCTGCCAAAAATCCCTCCTTGCCAGATTCCCAATATCTCACACAACCCAATAAATATCTCAAAAACATCAAATGGGGCAAACTTGGGGCCAAAGTCTCAAAGATGACGGCTGTGGCTCACCCAACTACAAAGTTTTCAGGTCCAATCATTACTAATTGTAGTTGATGAAGCGCACATGGTGTATGAGTGGAGACTTGTAGCCACCAGCAAAGCCAAGAGACTTGCCAGTGATGCTGGGATTTTCAGACTGTCATCTGAGGACCTACCACGTCAAACATTATCTGCAGGGAAAATTCCACTGCTGTTACTGTCTGCTACGTGCACTACTCAATCATTGCTCATGATAATGGTCAACCTCAAGTTAGACTTGTGCAATGTTCAAACCATCCAGGCTGAGCTCACTCATCCAAATATCTTTTCAAAATGCCTCTGAAAGCCTCATGCTGCGTGGGATTTGGGTGCATCACACTTTTATCCCAACCAATTCAATTCCTCCCACCCTGATTTATTGTGGGACTCAAAACGTGACCTTGGAATTTCTACCTATGATCTGTTTGGTGAAAATTGACAAAATCCCTCATAATCCCTCTGATGTAATCCTATGATGTAATTATTACTATTGAGTGACGTGATTTAAGCTGTGGAAGTGATTATTGTATGTTTAAAAATGATTAAAAGATCTGCTTATGATGAATACAGGTGATTTTCAAATAGGTGCCTCTTTTATTCTCATGACTCTTACGTGATTCATCAGCCCTTAGCGCTCTAAGCACCAACTCGTGATTCTTATCATATCACCTGTGCATCCCTAATCTTATTCAAATAACCTGCACAGGGCTAACGCGTAGCGGTCATCCCAAATGCAGAAAAATTCATGCTACAAGGTTTTAATACCGAAGCAGGTTATTGTAGAGCATCGTGGCGGCTTCGTGAATGCTGCAGGCTTTGGGTGGAATTGTATATCTCGCCCTTCCTGTCTGGTATTTGCAATACACGTTGATTGTTGCCCAGTCATTCACGTTGTTTAGCCCACAGTCATCAGGCTTTTGGTTTCATTATGACTCCGAAGGCCACCTTGCACCCCCTTGCGCGGTTGCGACGTACTTACCGTTCTAAACACTCATATACATATCTTGTTGGATTGCTTTTGATGACGCAGTCATGTGGTACTTGTGTACAAATGTTTGGACTCATTTATGTTCATCCGATTCTCAATTTATATTCACCGTTATACGAAAATTTGAAGGCCAAATTATAAAAAGTATACATGTTCATCTCATCAGATCATCAGGCTTCATTTGCGTCCATTTGTGTCAAGATATTGTACATACCAAAGTCTTTCAGCAACTTCAAAATGTAATGACGAGGAAAAATATTTTCCTGATGGATGGACTGAGCCACTCTCTGCCTTTTTTTTTCAAAGACAGCTTTTGATTTCATATTGCTCCGCTAGGTGTTAAGCTCCAGCCGACCAACAGCCCAACCATTTGGTTTCATGATCGAGATTGTACATAGTCACATCGGTGTGAATCGTTGGACTTGTGGTGTAGAAAGTTCCTCGATGGCTCCCGGCCGGGCAATTGATCTTATCCCGTGCAGTTTTGTGGTTTACGAGAGAAAAGACATCTCCAATCCTCGCAAGTATCCACAGTTGGTCAAACATGTAAGGTGTAGCTTTGTATATGCATATGTCAATTATCTGACGGGGTGCGCGAAACACAGTTAGGTATGAATGAAGGAGAACGAGACTGAAGTCACCGATGAAGACCGCAATTATCTAACGCAGACACAAAGATAAAGACATGATACATAGCTTCGATATCTTCATGTTCAAACCAGAAAACTGAGCTTTCTGAAAATGTGAGTTATCATCGCCAGATGGATGTACGACTGCTGCATGGATTTTGAATTTGTCCTAATTAACTTTGATATGATTGCCTTTCAATTTTACCGATAACTTCCGTCCAGGGTACAGTTTTTCTCCGCCAGATTATCTTCACACTTCTCTTGTTCAGAGCGTTATTCGCAATTTACCAATATGAGGGACGATATGTTTACACGCGGATATGTATATCGTTCCGGTCCTATCGCGTCGAGCGATCTGAGACTTGTCTTTCACTCCATTTTGTGGCACATCATAGTACAGTACTTGCCGCTTGAGCAAGTAAGCGGACTGAGGATGTACCCTGCTAGGCGAATAGCTCATTATCACGTTCATGAGGCGAAGAATCAGAGAGATAGGATGGTTATTTAGTCAGCTCGATCAATCGTGGAGTACGATTTTGCTCGCTCCTTTGTATCTTTCTATCGCAAATTTAGTTTCCCAGGTATTTCTCTTCGCACTTGAATCTTCTGAACTTGGAAATGACACAGTTAAAATCAGCTTGTTTGCCTCATGTTTCTCTTTACCATTCGATATGACGCTATCTGTTTACTGATCGTTTCCATTTGTCTAGCCGAACGAGACAATGCAAAACCCTTCAACAGAGATTTATGGGCCGAATCGATTTATTTCCTTTATGGATTGGTCCAATTTATCATTTGTCGAATCTTTGTGGTCGAGTTTATCAAAACAAAGGTTGAAAAACCACTTGGTAGAGTCGCAATTATTGGAGCAGGAGTCACTGGTGTATCTAGTGCAGCTCATCTTGTATCTCATGGTTTTGAGGTGACAATCTATGAACAAAAACCAAAGTTAGGGGGAATTTGGGCTGCTGTTAACCAGTTTGTCATTCCTTTCCTTCTTTACTGAAATATGGGTCCTCATCAGGAGGGATGGTCATCTAAATTATTTTTCATGCATGATTCAGAACTTCGAGTTTACAGCTTAACTCTTTGCTTTATCGATTTCATCCTGCTGTCATTTGGTCTCAAGGATTTCCAGTCAAACAGGTATGTCTGTATTTTCTTGCCTCACTTATAGGTTTGCTTAAGCTGAGAAATTTCTATTTTGGCTTCAAAGCATGAGATTCTATCTGAGATTACACGTATTTGGGAGCTTTATCGTCTCGAGTCTCGCACTAAATTCAATGTGAGTGCTTAGTGATTAAATTTGATCTCGAACAAGATGTATGCGTTCCTTCCGTTCAATAACACTATACTTACGCTATCTGTCACTTGCTACCTCACAGTATGCAGTCCGTGATGTACGTAGACGGATTCTGCCAGACGGGAAAACTCAGTGGACAATTGATGAAGGACATGATGGGGTGTTCGATGCCGTGATCGTAGCCATTGGAACCTGCGGACCTCCCAAGGCAATTCAAGGATTAGGAATAGATAGATTCACTGGACCAGTGGCTCATTCTTCAAAGCTTGATGGATTAGATCTTAAGGGAAAGCGAGTTGTGATCATTGGAGGTGGTGCAAGTGGAGTAGAAGCTGCTGAATTAGCTGTAAACTCAAACGCGGCTGAAGTCAATCTTCTAGCCCGCTCAGATAAAGTAGACATCTCATTCATATATATCTTATCCTACATCTTACACGAAGCTGATGATTAGTCTGAACTTTCGCAGTGGTTTATTCCTCGAAATTGGTTTTTATCCATCCTACTGGGATGTTGCCCACGAAGACTCCAGAATTCTGTCGGAGCTTGGGTCGAAAGTGCTCTCGTGAGATTTCATTACGGAAATCTCAAACATCTTGCACCGGCCCATCAGCGTTTTTACTCCGATACTCCAATCGTCAATGATATATTCTTTCAACATGCTCGGTCTGGTAGGGCAAGATATATCCGAGGAGACGTAAGTTATCCACAAGCTATGATTCAGCTCAATGGACATCTGATCGCTCAATCTGATACGGGATATGCTTTTAACTTTGGAACCTACTAGCTATCAGAAATTTTACCTACAGCACTCAAGTTGAATGTGCGAACTGATCGCACAAGTAAACCAGGCGATTCAGGTGTTGTAGAAATACTAAAAGCAGATGTTATAATTGACGTAGGTCTCAAATGAGCTTTACCGACTACCAAGATTGATAAATGGGTATTCTGATTTGTCTTTAATCATTCCAATGACGGCAGGCTACCGGGTATCATAGACCTGAATACGAATTTCTTCCTACAGTCAAACTATTTCCGAGCAAAGACTACTCCCCACCCCACATCTTTATGCAAACCTTTTCAGTATCGGACCCTACTTGTTTGATGACCAATGCAGCTTACTTTGATGGGGTCGGAGCTGTTGGACATTATCATATAGGTTAGTGTCTCATAAAACAAACTCGAGATAGGTGAAAGATACATGCAAACTGATTTGAATCTTTCACGTATTAAACTCGATTGTCACTTGTGCATTCAGGGATCTCTACCAGGCTTCTGATAATGTTCTTGTTACAACCTGAAACTGCTCCTAAACGTGAACCCCCTGAAGCTCAATTCATAAAGCATAATCCACAAATGAACTGATCCAGCTTGCATTCTTTATCAGCAACGGAAATGATTAAATGGGTAGATCAACATCGTGGTCTAGAATGCTTCGCGTCTGTTACCCAAATTCATTCTTCACAATTTCTGCACTTCATCAAATTTTTAAAGATCACTGAAACTTCTATTCAACAATGCAGTTATGTCGAATTGGTCTGGTGGTTCGTCGGCTTTCACCTGACGAACTTTATGCGAATGAGATGGGCTATCTTCAATCTCTTTGGTTGGGGTCAGTTAAGGTCACCTTATTTATCACAGAAAAGTCGGTCTCCCCTCGAACATCCTAACATGACCCATTTTGAAATAGGTCTCAATACCCACAAGCTTCCCTTAGGGTCGACAGTTAACCGACCAATCATGGAGATGAAATGAAGCATATAACGGAATATCTGTGTTTTCGTGCTGAATATTTTCTCTTGATTCCAATATTCCCACTTATATAAAGCATCATTGAAAATTGTATCAATATTCAGTGTATATCTCAAAATACAACTAGACTGGGCGATAAAAATGTGACCCTCATAAGCTTAATTTCAAGCTCTTTTAGATTCACATCCTTCTTCAAGTCTTACATTTCTACCTTGACTTCTTTGAGAATCTATCTGTGGTTGGCTTACTGCCTGTTTCAGGCTATATCAAGCACCTTGAACTCTTCTCATTCTTGTGTTCTTTGATGCAGCCAACCAAGGCACGACTTGGCAGCAAGTTCCGTGGCTGGGGCGCGTGTTGTAGCGGCTACAAGCATATGCTAGTAGCACGACCAACGTGGCGTGCGAGAGGGAATTTTTCCCAGTCCTGCGAAGGAAAAATTCACCTCCTGTATCACACGCTCGATGGCCGAAGAACTCTGCACATCCTATTCCCGGAAGCACATTCAGTTCTCCACCATGTAAATATCCTTGTAGCATGTCGACGTGCACACACGAAAGACTTTCCTTAGACCCTGTAAAGACCCATCAAAGAGGTACCACAACAAGCACATCTTCCCCTTATCACCTGGGAGGTTGAAAGTCAGTTGACTCCTGCTGACCACAAAGGATTCCGCAAATCCTTTGAATAAATCACTATTCACAAAGGGTGCTCAACGGCAATCTCAGTCTAAATCCGACCAAAAGACTTTGAGATTTGTTTCAAAACCCTCTGTGTGTGCACGTCGATGTGCTACACAAATATTGACATGGTGCTCAGAATTTGTTATCTGTTGTTATTAACAACCATTTTCTTATCCAGTTAATCCTTGAGGTATCAACACAGATTCAAAAAAGCGGAACAAGGAAGAACATTCAAATCGTACAATCAAAAAGAGTTTAGAAAAGAAAGAAGTTCAACAAATCTTTGAAGGAACACCAAGAAAAAGCAAAAAGAAGAAGAGATGGTAACATTCTTAGAAGAGCTAGCAGAGTCACGGAGAAGAGCAGAGGAAGCGGTATGCAACGGGGAGTCAGGACCCAGACTTTGAAGCCGGTCTAGAAATCAAAACGAAGAGCGGAATCAAATAACCCGCAACGAGAACGGTATCGAGGAGGAAGACGCGCCAGACTTACTTTCAGCCAAAGAAGAAATAGAATTTGTAAGCAACCACAAAGCGTTGGCGGAAGTCAGCGAAGCTCCGACCAACTCCGGGATGGTCAGCGGTGTAGAGGCAGCAGGTTTAATTTGTCCTTTTGGACAGGTGAGAATGGAGAAGGAGTCAACGGAAGCCAGCAGCAAACTGAGCGAAGAGGAAAGCGGAGGAGGTGATAGAAACACAGGGGAAAAGAATATGATGAGCAGTAAGTTGAAGAAGAACCTTTTTAGTAAATTCTCATCCACACACACAATCTCAGTTTTCATAAGCCGTATCCGATCCCCCCCGTTTTCTTTCACATTCCGCTACCACACACACTTGCGAAAAACTCTCCATAACACCGCATGCACATTGGTGCAGACTCTGAAGAGTCCTCTGGCAACGCCGAGGCCCGCCGGAGCTATATACCGAGCTTTCGTTGCTACATCCCCCATCACATTACAAGCACATTGGTGCGGGTTCAGAAGAATCCACCGGCAATGCCGAGGCCTGCCAGAGCTAAATGCCGAGCTGTACCCCCAAGGAGTTTCCCGTAAGATCCAAGAACGTTGGTCGGATTTCCACATGTCCAAGTGATCAATGCCAACGTAAGTCGAAGCTACTGGAGCTAATTACAAGGAGAGGAAAGAGGCAGACATCAGTCAAGACAGCTAGAGGTGGGAACTTCCGGAGAAAAGAGGAGTCGAATGAAGCGGGGAAGGGGAAAATTAGAGGTTACCCCTCCCTACGCAGATGAACAACCCTCCTAAAAATTAATCCAGACAGACACGTCAAGAGTACAGTAATCTGACAGATGGAATTTTTTTTAAAAAATTTCCCTTTCCGTGTTAAGACAAGCAACTAGACAGCCGGAACAGATGGTGGCTCACCATAGTAGACGCGTTCAACCGTAACGACGTAACGTTGGGCAGGACAATGCTCCAAGCATTTGGAGCAACGTACGGACACATACCGTTTGATCCCAAGGCGGAAGCCGAGAGGGGAAGAATAAAGGGATTTCAGATCCCTTGATCAAACCAAACAACAGCTAATATCAGTCAATGAACAGGATAACAGAATGATCCGGAGAATAGAGATGATAAGAGATGTTGTGAGGAAAAACTTTCTAAATAGTTAATTGAGAGAGAAAGAAAGTTTTTTCCTAGTCCGGATGGGTTGATAAAGTAGGATTAGTGTTACATCACGTGTTTAGGTTTGGACATGTACAAAAGTTAGTGAGTAAATAGACATGTACAAAATGCATTATGTATTATCAAATTTGTATTGTTCTAAATAAGACAGAAAGAAAACATTAATCATTTACACGAATGTAGTTTGTTCCAACAAAGAAGAGCGCACCAAGAGCCACCACAAATGCCACGACGAAGACCCAGAACGGAGTCGTTAGTTGTAGACGAAGAACCTAGCCAGACGTCTGAACAAGCAACAATCAAAAAATCTCGTAAACAAGAACCTTCGAGGGTAGTAGAAGGGACAAAGACGCCAGCCGCTGAAGTAAGCAAGTCAGCCCAAGCGCAAGAGGCGCCGTCGACCCCGGGACTAGGCGAACAGGCTGTACTTGCATCGAGGCCGAAAGAGAAAGGCAAGTAAAAGGAAGAGGAGGACACCGTGAACCCAGAGGAAGAGATTACCTTCATTGACGATCAACAACTCTCCAACAACAGCCTCCTCCATTCTAATTTGGAGTTGTGATTTTTATGTATATTACATCATTAGGAAATCACCAAGCACCTCCCTTAGGATCGCAGATAGTTCTGCTGCCCTAAGGGTTTGGGGGGGGCGCCGCCGGCGGGCCTCTAGGTTTGCGTCGGTGAGAAATTTTGTTCTCTTCCGCCAAACCTGGGGACCACGACTTTGCCGGGTGGGTGGGTGGAAATTTTTAGTGATGAAATATAAGTTTTACGAAACTTGAGAGGATCTGAGTTGTGTCGATGGCAGAATGCTCGTCTAGCGGGAAATTGAGGTTGCGGGAAAATTCTCAATATTTTCTTGCAACTCAATTCTGGAAGAAGCGCACGCGGGTTACCCCGCTACAAGCATATTCTGACATCTTTACACAACGTCCTATTTCATGGAACTCCGCACCAAGTCGTGCCTTGGTTGGTGCTCACACTCCATTCTAATTTGGAGTTGTGATTTTTATGTATATTACATCATTAGGAAATCACCAACCACCTCCCTTAGGATCGCAGATAGTTCTGCTGCCCTAAGGGTTCGGGGGGGGGCGCCGCCGGCGGGCCTCTAGGTTTGCGTCGGTGAGAAATTTTGTTCTCTCCCGCCAAACCTGGTTAGCTCCTTTTAGTCGTGGTACGTCCCTGAAGCTTCCTGGGTAGCTCGTCTGCCCATCTGTCGGGGCTCGCTGTGAGTCTCGACTTGTTGAGTTACCCCGGAGCTCTCAGGGACGTCCCGCCTTTTGTTTTCTTATTTCTGATCTAATGACTTCTTGTGTGTCTGTCTGTCTACAAATTTCTCTCTCTCTTTTAAAAGGGATGTTCTGTGTTCTGTACGTCAGATAAACTTTGCCCCAACTCAGTAGGGTTTGTCTTGTATCGTGCGAGATAGCCTTTCCCCAATTCAGTAGAGTTCATTTCAGTTTGCCCGTCTGTATAAGTCCGCTGTACAATCCTCAGTGGCTTTTTTCCAACCTCTGTCGATCCCTCAGGCCTTGTCCTTTCTACTAATCGCTCTCAACAGCGTTTTCGTTTCCTCCAGTTCCCACATCGTGTAGTTCTTAAGGTAAGCGTCAACTGCTCTTGACTCCCATCTTCCCATTTTCATTATCCGTTCCTTGCTCCATCCCAGGTTCCACCTCAACGAGGCCCCTCCGACCCGAAATGAGTGGCCTGACCACAGACCGTCTTTTGCTCCACTCTTACCCCATATTTGCGTTACTTTACTCATGAACAACTCCTTTGTCATCGCTCTCCTGAACTTCCCCGCGCCTAAACCGAACAGCGCATTGGAACCTCTTTTCGCTGGGATCTTCTCCACCATTCTCTCTAGAGCTGCTACTGGGTCTAAGACTGAGTTTTGAGTCTCCAATCTGTGAGTAGTGCTTTTGGTCAGCTCTCTTTCTTCTTTCCGTCTGTTCTCCTCAAAAACGTACCTGATTTCTTGTGTTTTCCCCGGCTTGGCTGTTTTCGCCCTCCATAGACTTAGAATGGCGACTTTCTTTGCACCTTCTCCTTCGAACCTTAGATCATCTACCACCAGCATGCCTTCCTCCCGGTTTTGCCTCGTCAACTCTCCCAGCCGCATCATACCCCAGAAGGCCACCAAGCTTGCTGTCGATATCAGTTCATCTAGCTCGTCTTTCCCTGCGAAGTTGAAAACGATGTGTGAGATTTGCTTCACGGTGACCGGTAGTTTCTCTATCCTGTACGCTTCGACCTCCTCAGCCAGCATCAATCTCTCCTCTGCTCTCTCCGAGGCCTTCAGGATCCCTTTCACCATCTTTTGATCTAAGTCCGGTGGTTTCAATTCCGACGCCATTTGCCATGCTTGTAAGCCTGCTAGATATTTTTCGAGTGTCTTTGCTTTCACTACCCGTTTTGCTGACGTCTCCTTGTTTGAATTGGACGCACTCGCCCACACTAGGAATCCATACACATCTGTAGCCCCTAATGGAATCGCCGATTCCCATCTTCTGCCTTTGCTTTCAATGTATTCTCTATACTTTGTCACTGCGCTTCCGTACCCCTGCAAGGTCTTCTCGGTCCATGTACCTCCCACCATGTGGCGTGCCACTTGCAGCTTTGTCCTGTCTTGAGTGTCGCCGCTCAAGTTTCCCGATTTGCCTCGGATGTCTTCTTCTATCATCCTAAAATTGAGTTTCTCCGTTTTCTCCATGACTTTTCTCCTTTCTCGCGGGCTTGCTCTCTTCCAGATAGTCTTCTAAGTCGTCCGGTAATCTGAAACTAATGCGGTTTTGTTCTTTCGATTTAAGGTCGGTTCCTCTAGACAGTGCGTCTGCGTCGTTGTTTTTGGATGTTACTCGTTTTTCTTCCAGATCGCAGTCCAGCTCCGCCAGTCGGCGCTCGATTTTCCTCCACTCTTTGTTGACTGCGACATGTTTCGACTTTGAGTTTCGGACCACTGCCTCCGCTGTCGTGTTGTCCGTGAGGAACAACAATTTCTTTCCTTCAACCACTACCACTCTCGCCGCGACTTCCAAGCCCAGCCTGATCGCCACCGTTTCGGCCCAGGCTATGTCTCTTTTGACACCTAGGGCGTCTCTGTCAGACCAGCCTGGCTTTAGTGTCCACTGATTCCACTTCTCTCCTATTAACACGCCAATACCATAATCTGTCGAGGCATCCCCGACCCAACCGATGTCTACCGCCGACTTTCTTGGTACTATTCTCCTATTCTTGAAATCCTTCAGAACCCACTTCCATTCCCAGAGGTCGTCTACTACGTTCCTGGGCATTTCTCTCTTTGCCGACTTGTTCACCCACGTCGCCAACCAGTTGTAAAAACTCGGACAGAAACATTTCATTTGCGGCATGATGTTCGTCAGGTGAACTAATATACCAATTAGCTTTTCGATTTCCTTATGGGTATGTCATCCCTGCTTCGTCAGTGCCTCGTTCACCTGTTGCTTTCTCATCTCTAATTTTTCTTCTGGTAGACGTATTGTCCTATCTTTCCCATTCCAGATGAACCCAATATATTTTTGCTCCGTCTTAAACTCCGAGTACTTACCCTCATTTGTACGTACACCTAATTCCGCACTAGCTTCCACTACTTCTTTCATTGACACTTTGTTTGTATCCTTTTTCCTTCTTATGAATAGGTTGTCATCTACCCACCGAAACACCATCAAGAATCCGAATTTCTTGTGCATCAGTTCTTTCCATGCATCCGCTGGACCTCCAAAGCTACCGCATCCTGCCACGCCACCGAAGGATACCCTCAAGTCGAAGTAAATCTCTCCGTCCGGGCCTCGTACCATTAGGTATCTCCACTGTGATGGGTGGATGGGAATTTGCCTGTAGGCCTTTTCCCAGTCAAAGATCCCAAATTCTAATTCTTCTTCGTGTTCTATCAAAAAAGTGAGTACCTTGTCGAAATCATCCCAGGTCGTTTCGAATTCTCTTTTGTCTACGAACAAGTTTACTGATGGTGTATCGTCTTCATTTTTCGGGTATGATAGGTCGTTGATTATCCTTATTGTGCCGTCTCCATTCACCACGCTCCCCATCGGGCTAGTCCTGAAGAAACCAATCTTCTCATACACCTCCTTTTCCGTGAAAGGTCCCACCATTCTGCCGGCCTCCACTTCCTTCTTTATCTTTTCTCTTATGATGTCCTTCTCCGCCTTGGTCTTCACGTGGTTTTCCGGTGAGTAGTACTTTCTGCCTTTCAGCGTGTGTTCTGGGATACCCTGGTGAAAACCGATCCTGAAGCCTTCTATTATGTTCATGTGCTTCATTCCCACTCCTAAATCCTTTGCCAATTCTACCCAGGCTTTTATGTTCATCTCGCACTTTACTTCCGTAGGCCAGGCTCTCTCCTCCGGTTTTTTGCTCACCGTCTGACTCTCTCCTATACCGACGTCTACCCCTCTTTCCTGTCGGCCCTGTGTCAGGATTACATCTTTGGTTTGCTCGGGTATCTGGTCGAGTTGTTGCTCGACATTTCTTCTCTCTGGGTACGTCTCAACTTTCCCGTCAGGGCTGTTGTGGGCAGAAAAGGGAGGGGGGGGTGGGGGTGGGGTAGGGTTGGAACTCGTCAATATCATCAACTCAATCTTTCCTCTCCTCTCTTGGGGGATTCTCTCTGTATGCCTGAAAAACACGTGCGTATATCTCGCGTATCTTTTTCATTCACCTCATATTCTGGATAGATGGACATTGAGAAAAAAACAACAAGTTTTGCAACACGACGGTGACTTGTGACAAAAAAGAAAACCATCTTCCTCCCCCTCTGTCCTCTTTGGTATGGATATGACCCTTACTCGCTTTCCTCATCTGTCTGTTTGCTTTAGATTTAGGTGCGCTCTCCGAGACATATGCGAGGAACGATGGATGTCTTACGAATTGGAATGGAAGGTTTTGGGACCCGAGTAAGTCTCTTGGAGGGGAACATGTACGTTTACATTACACTTACTAGGTGGTCTTTCCTCCATGCGTGTTTTTCGCTCCTGCGTTGTTTGTTCCTCCCCTCGGACCTGACGAACCTTCACCGCTTGGGTAGTTGTTAACAAAATTGGTCCCCGTGCTCTGGTCATTCCATTGACCTCCTGGAGACTGGTTGTGGTTCTGGTAACCAAAAGGGCGGAACGGGTTGGAGCTATATTGTACCGGTTGGATGCTATGTTGGAAAGGTTGGTAATTTCCAAAACCCCCTCCGTTAATCGCCACACCGTATCCTCCGTTGCTGTGAGCTCCGAACTGTCCGGTGTTCATAGGCTGATTATGGGCGTTTCGACTTTGCCAATAGCCGTTCTTTTGGTTTCTCCCTCTTCCGCGCCACGTGTTTCCTCCTCGGTTACCACCTCCGCCTCTAGCGCTCTGGTGGTTCGCTGCGTACTGGCGTTTTTCGAAGCCTGATGTCTTCGACGTTATTGGTTGCTCCGCAACCTGTGCTACTTGCGTCTGTAGCGTCTTCTGGCCAGCTACGTAGGGGTTCTCCGTGAAACTCCTCTCCCCCATCGCTTCCACTTTGTCTTTCGCCGCCCTCAGAAGGGCCTCGTGCATCACTCCCGCATTGCACATCTCTCGCTTTCCGGACTCTCCAATTTGCACCTGCATGACTAGTTTCCTAACCTGGTCGTCATCGTTTCCAAGCGGATTGCTCTGTAAGTATCTGATGACATTACGGTCCTCTGTTCTTGATATAGTCTGACCCTGCTTACCTTTATACAGTATCGTAGTGCTATCATCCAGCACGACGTCGAACGTCGGATTTCAACCACATTGTCCTTGTGTCTCCTCAGCATCTCGGCACACGTCTTCATGTGGTACTGCTCGTCGACATACCGGATGAATAAGTCTATTGCATCTATCCAGTCTCCATATGACATGAGGAGCTTGTCCTTCGGAGTGAGTCCAGTATAAGTTGTCGACTCTTCTTCCTGTAACTCTTTAAGAGACTTTGTTTTCTTCGTAGCGGCTTTCTGAGAATCAAGGTCTATCCATTCGAGGTTGAAAACCGTCAACGGTACGTATCCTGTCAACTTTGTCATACGTTTGTTTATTCCGCTTGATAGTTGAATCAGACTCGAGTTTGAGAATTGTTCGTCGACGAACACCATCTCGCTTTCTGGGTCGATCAGATCTCTGACTTCTCTTTCCGCCTTCTTCTGCTTCATCGGTTTAGGGGGTACTTCTGTTCTCTCCTCTCTCACTCCATCCGTCATCTCATTCACGGCCGTCATTTCGTTTGGATCGTCACCTCCGGCTACTATCGATGCCGTCCTTTGGCGCTTAATCCTCACGCTTGCTGGGTTTGGTGGCTGTCCCAGTACGGCTATACTTGCTGTTACCAGGTCCTCTGGCTCGTACGGTACTACCCCGTATGCCGCTCGATAGGCGTTTAGCATCACTCGTCCAGCTTGGATGTTGTCCTCAGCGTACGTCTCTACGATGGACTTCCACCACAGGTCTCTGGCTGGGTCTCCCGCACTCCTGGGTTGACTTGCTACACAAGTTATCGGACATGAATAAAAACCCCCAATGTTAGTCATCTATGACTTTGTTTGTATCTTGGATGTGGTTAAAAAACGGAGGTTTGATTTTCCTCGGGTTAAAAATTGGTCAGATCTAGCTCTGCCTGCCTCGGTATTGACGGTTCTTTTATAATGACATGAGTTTGTCTTCCTTTCTAGGCTTTCTTTTTTGTGGTCAGATTTAGCTCTGCCTGCCTCAGCTTCGCTGGAGCTCCTGCTTTCAGGGCGTGCTGGGCTCTATTCTTCGATAATCAGGATGTAGCTCCTGCCGCCTCAACTTGTTTGTTGGTGCCCTTTGTACCCTTTCCACACTTTTGTGTGACGAGATTTATCTCTGGGCCTTGGAGTGTGATAGAGGAAAATGATGATAAAGGGGGGGGGTGGGGGAAAACCAGACTGAAACAGGGGAGATTGAGGTGTTGTGATTCTTACAATTTATCCGTATCTTCAGTCCGTTCCCAGGCTCTGTCGCCTGTCTCGGTGGTCCTCCATTCCTCCTATCTGATTCCTCTTCTTCTTCTCCTTCATCTTCCTCCTCTTCTTCTATTTCCAGGTTTTCTCCTTCCACTTCTGGTGTCTCTGGTGCAAGGATCCTTGTTGTGTCGGCCTCGTTCTCTACTTTCCCTTCACGATTCCGGGATTGGCTCCTTGTTCCCGCTCTCGCTGTTCCTTCTCTCAGCGCTTCCTCTGCCAGTCGTCTTGCTTCCTCTAATGTTTCGTCGAATGTAGCCATCTATTCTTCTTTCTGTTCCTTTGAATTTTAAGTATTTGAATTGCGAGCAATGAAATTTTCCGTGAAATTTTTAGTGATGAAATATAAGTTTTACGAAACTTGAGAGGATCTGAGTTGTGTCGATGGCAGAATGCTTGTCTAGCGGGAAATTGAGGTTGCGGGAAAATTCTCAATATTTTCTTGCAACTCAATTCTGGAAGAAGCGCACGCGGGTTACCCCGCTACAAGCATATTCTGACATCTTTACACAATGTCCTATTTCATGGAACTCCGCACCAAGTCGTGCCTTGGTTGGTGCTCACACTGAAACTATCGAACTTTTTCCACCAACGAATGACCAAGTTGAAGGCATTTGTCCCCTTGACAGTCTTCAATATGGACTGGATAGACAGAGACGCGGAAAAGGCCAGTCAAAAGAAAGTGAAGTCAATTAAGGAATTGCAAGAAGGAGATGAGACGATGACGTACTCCGGTTTAGAGCCAAAGGAAGAGTTGCTGCTATCCTATGGTGACTGGCTCGACCATATGGATTTATTCATACGTTACGTAGAGGAATATTACAATATGAAGCAATGCGCCGACAATTTCAGGAAGCACAAGCTGAACGTTATCGAGATACGGAGGTCCACATCTTGTTGGATGATAGCTTTACGATACTGTATCAAAGTCAGAAAGTTAGTTATGCAATTCAGACTAAAGGATGGAAAAAGGGTGATGAGTAATGCAGGAGTACTTCACGAAGATATCTTAAGAGCCGCGAAAGACAAAGCGGAGGCTATGGGCAAAAGAAGCCACACGGAGAACCCGTACTCTACGGTAGTCGCAACGCTGAGACAGCAGCGCAACGCAGCGTTACGGGACGAGTTGTGTGTAGAGTAGCTTTATGAGTTATCAGGAAATTTCTTGAATGGCTAACGCTGCTCATCCAGTTACGCTATCTATTTTTGCGTAACTGATACGTAATCTTGCTGCTATCTCACATTGATAACGCAACTAGTATAGTTACGCTAGAGCTACGGTAGCTCGATAACTGGAAAAAAAGTCTCTTGTAAAAGCATAAAATTACTTGTAATACCCTTGATTCACCCCTAAATGTGCTCAATCATATACATACAAAAAGGAATCGGAACAGCATGAAAAGACATGTGAATCTTGAGCATGATCTCTATTACTATCATGTCACATTAAAATCAAATTCCATTGGACTTAAATCTTTTCAACCACTTCATCCCATGTCCTATTCGCGTCCAAAGCTCTAGAAATCTCTACAGTGGCTACACTTGTTCCAGCATCAATATAGGGATAAGTTCTTAAGATAGTTAACACAGAACGATGGTTTAAGGAAGTAGTTGACAGAACTGAAGTTTGTAATTCAGATAATCTTTTACTTGATGAATTGATAAGTTTTTGTGTAAGTGAAGGTAAAAGGCTCCGATTTGAAATTCGGATTCTTAAGTCTTCAATTTGATTACGGATTAATCAACTTGTAAACGGGTTTAATGATTCAAATCAAGATAAGTGTAGGTTGTGCTATTCCTGCTTCATCTATTTGTCCTATCTTTTTGTTTTTGATGGGTGATGGTGCTGGATTTTATATAAATGAGATGATCTTAATGATGTGGTCTTCGATTTTGGAAATGAGATCGATTGTTGTATCAAAATAAGCTCCTTTCAAAAACAGTCTGATCAAAAACAAAACGAGAAAAGGATCAAAAATCTGGAAGCGCTCAAATTGATCAAAAAACCTTGCGACATTTCTTTCAAACGTTTTGATTGAGTCGAAGTGATACAGCTCCGAGATTGGAATTCCTGTTTTCAAATACTTCTTCATGTTGATCCAGACCAAAGGGAGGTCCAATAAGTTTAATAACTCTTGAATGACAACTCATCTGATTCGATACATTGCTGGACAGATGATTATCCTTCAGTCGCCTTGTTTCAAGTGAAAAGTTGAGTAAGAGGTAAAGTTTTAAAATGATTTATAGATTGAATTGAATAGGTCAAACCCACAAGTTGAGAATGAGAGTTGATAGGAGTTGATATTACGTGATCGATCTGTAATTGGTGGTGATTAGTGATGTTTTTGTTGAAAAGAGTGTATTTACAGTCGTTTGCAAAAAGCTTGCCACAATTTCACCGCCAAATAGCTCGAGTTTTGCGGGCAAATTTCGGCAAGCTTTTTGAAAACAACTGTACACCACGGGAGGGTCTTTTGTCCGAAATTGGCCTGACGCCGTCTGAGAATGGCCAGGTCAAAATACGGCCTGAAGACCGACTCAAAGCCCATCTATAGGCGGGCTGATGGCGGCCATATTTCCGGCGTGTAAATCTGAGAAAAAATCAGATTGATAGTGGACTGCAGGCCATCAGTAGGCGGTCTGCTGCCTGGCATCCTTCATGGACCAACGATCCGCCTGCAAAAGGCCAACAGACCGCCACCAGACAGCACCAGACACCCACCATGAACATCGGCAATTGCACAGCCAGCATGTCGCACCTCCGCAGTACGCAGCAATCCCATGACAAAGAACAACTTTTAATCTTAAATGATAAGGAATCAAGAAAACACTTCAATCTCCTTTCGACTAGAATCATGATGTAGCCAAAGGTCAAACTGTTACCAATGGTCAAATTCGTGGCTCATCAGGTAAGTAGCACTCTCGCACTCACTCTTCCTTCCGGACTTCCTCCTTATCTCGCAGCATTGTTCCCTATTAACAAATCACCCCCTCCAATTCATTGGCACTCGATCTTTCTCGACCTAGCTGGTGGAGGCGGTACCCCAAACAACTCATCACTATTCTTCGAAAATCCTAAAAGGTTTTTGACTCAAGGAACATGTCATTTGGTTAGTTACAATTTGACCTTGTCATGTTGACGTTCATACATCTATTTCCTTTAGATTATACAAGCTTGTCACTCTCAGTTATCAAGTCACCTCCTTATCATCGAGTTGAACACATTTCTAACTTCATTCCAAGCTTTACCAATGCTGACATCAACGTGACCTTGTTTTTATTTGTCGGCCTCAAAATGTACAACAGTGCGTTTCTAGAATGACTCGATCAACCCAATCATACACACTCGGATTCTTTGTTTCATTGAATTCAAATCTTAAACTCAAGCTTCGATAATTTAACCACCATAAAGCTACTGCTTCTCATCTGGATCTCGATTGATTTTTCCCTTGCTACTGACCACTGTCTTTTTATGTTGTTTGAATGTGATTAGTGCTGCTCCTGTTGGTGATGGCCATGGTTGTAAGGTGGGTTCGCATGATAGAAGCCTCTCGCTATAGTTGTAAGTCAACTTCCATTCAACTAACCTCAGAAAGGTCTCCAATAAGAATGATTAATCTCTGAGAGGGCTACTACTCATTGCCAACCATTTTTACCAGTTCATACCTTCGCTTCCCAGTACCCACCTAGCATAATTTACACTTCCTCTCTCATAAGACTTGTAAATAGACTGTGAAATCAAATATTTAATCTTTTGTATTATCAATGCGCCCACGAGCTGAGCTGAGCTGAGCCCCCCCGTGAGCCACAAAACACCCGGTCCAAACCTGAACCGGATCAGAAACGAGTTCCGAGTGCAGAAAACCCGCCAGAGGTGTCGGGCTTTAGAGCCAGCTGACCGTCGAAAGGCGGATTGCAGCTCGCCAGCCGGCCCAAACAAGGCGGCCTGCAGGCGAGCCCAGCAGGCGCCTGCCAGACTTCTTGCGTGAGGGCCATCTGTAGACGGCCTGCCCCTCTGCAAAGGCAGGCCGTCTGCCGTCGGCCTGGCGAGACCGTCTGTAGGCGGGCAAAACGCATCTGTGGTGTACATATGGCCGTATTAGGAAAGTTCAGCCCTGGTCAGCCCCTTACGGTTCCTTACGCGCAACATAGCTACTGTAACGGGGTGCGGGGCTGATGCGTAACTCAATAAAAAACACCCCGTTATCCAAAGGGGCTAACGTAACTCATCTGAAAAAGACCTGTTACAAGAATCTGCCAACGTAGCTTTTTTGAGACACATTGAGCTATCAGATAGCGTGCCGCTTAGAGTTACGTTAGCGTTACGCTAGCGCTACAAGCAGCGCTGCTGTCTTGGTGTTGGTAGTCGCGACACCGGATCTGAACCTAGCAAAGGAGCGAAGCCTGATAAAATGGGAGTTCGCAGCAGCCAACCAGAGCTCCAACACCGCAAACAGCAGTTGGAAGAACAGCAACTACGACAACAGTAGAGGTGGGAAGAGAGCCAACAATAAGTTCAGCAAGAACAACAACCAGGGTGGAGGTCGAGGCTACCAAGACAGAAACACCACCTACGGCGGAAATCAAAGTTACGCAAAAGGAAACGGTGGTTTCGGGTTTGCACCTTACAACAACCAATATCACACCCTCCCCGCTTTTGCATACCCGCAATATGCAAATTACCAACCGTACCAGTACGCGAGCGGAAGCAACCAAGGTTTCAGCCATTCAAACGCGAACACCGGTCCAAGCGAACCAAACAACCAGTTGGCAATAGTTCCGAAGCCAACTTCAGGGACCAGCAGTGGCCAAAGAGGCACACTAGCAATAGTCCACCGGAACAACGCAAATAAGCAGCAGTGGTAAATTTTCAAACCTGCAATACTTCCTCTCTTTCCCCAAATTATATCACCTACACTCCTCTCACAAAAGAATGCGCACTCCTCAACCGACCCTAGAAATTTAGGTCCAATAGGAAAACCAGGTTTTCAAGAGGGGGCGGTGTGTGAAGGAAAGAATTGGCCTTTGGGATGGGATGATTGGTTTCCCATTCTCAGTTTTTCCTGTGTTGCCTAGTTTTTGTCCTCTTCATACCGTTTTGAAAAGTTCCAATGTCAATATAAGTCATAGACACATCAGAGAACAATACAAGGTGCCAAGCCCATAAGAGCAAGGCCCTAATAAAACTGACCACGTGCCCGGGGTAATATCCAAGACCGGAGGCACCAGGACAAAAAAGTCCCAAGACAAAGCCCCACAGAGAAAAGGGGGCGAGAGAGAGTTAAAAACATAGAGAGAGACATTTTACTTACGATAGCACCCCCGTTTCCAAAACCAGTGTCCCTCAAACGCATTCAGGCGGCGAAGAGACGGAAGCAACCACAATAAAAGTTGGAGGTACTCCCCAGGAGGAATGCACCGGGACAAAAGTGGAAAGCACCCAGGAGGGTGAGCAAGTCCACTGATATAGCAGAGTCTTTGCCATACTAACAAACCGGAAAACCGACGCAGGGAAAAAGCGAGAGCCAGAGCTGAAGCCGAACAGGAACTGGCCGACGGAGATAACCTGCAAGATGAATTTGGTAGAATGGGAGAAGATGTTGAGGAGGCACAAGATTTTAGATAAACATCAAAAAATATTAGTAGGTTTCAAGGAGGGTTTTGATCAGGGCATACCTGAGCACTCGACTGAAGGCCTAGAGTACTATTCACCTCCGAACCACGAGAGATCAGTGGCCGGAAACAAGGTGATGGTCAAAAAAATACAAAAAGAGTTGGACTCCGGAAGGATGAGAGGGCCATTCTTGGTGGAGGAGGCTCAACAGTACCTCGGGTTCTTCAGGACCAGCCCGATGGGAGTGGTGACAAACGGAGACAGTTCAAAGAGGGTAATAAACGACCTCTCCTTTCCTGAATTTGATGAAAGAACACCGTCAGTAAATTCATTTGTTGACAAGTTGAGATTCAAAACTACCTGGGACGACTTTGCAAAGGTAGCCACGTTTTTCGTAGAGACAGAGGGAGAGTTGGAATTGGGGATTTTTGATTGGGAAAAGGTGTATTGCCAAATCCCGACACACCCAAGCCAATGGCGGTTGCTGGCAATACGCACCAACAAGGGATTCATAATCCTGGACACGAGGGGTATCCTTTGGGGGTGTGGCAGGCTGCGGAAGTTTTGGTGGGCTGGCAGACGCCTGGAAGGAGTTGATGAAGGCGGAGTTTGAGTTTGCGGAGGTGTTTCGTTGGCTAGACGACAATCTGTTTGTCAAGGTGAAGGAAAGAAGAAAGGCAACATCTATGCTCGACGTAGTAGAGGCCAGTGCAAGATTAGGAGTTAAAACCAACAACAGAAAATACTCGGAGTTCAAGACCGAACAAAAGTACATAGGTTTCATTTGGAACGGAAAAGAGAAATCAGTGAGGTTACCGGAGGAGAAGTTAAAAGAGAGGAGGATGCAAGTGGACGAAGCATTAAATCAAGTCGGACCCTTCTCCTACCAGGAAGTAGAGAATTTATCCGGAAAACTGCACCACCTGACGTACATGTTGCCACAAATGAAATGTTTCATCCCAAATGTACACCACTGGATGGCAACATGGGTAAACAAGAAAGCCCTGCGACAGATGCCGAATAACGTTAAGGAGGACCTCTGGGACTGGAAGAGGATGTTGAAGTCGTTTACCAACCACAAATTACTACCGAAGAAGGAGCTTCTAGAGCTAGGCTGGGGAGGCGACGCAGCAATAACTCACGGAATTGGCGTGATCGTAGGCAGCAAGTGGGCGCAGTGGAAATTGAAAGAAGGTTGGAACTCAACAGACGAACTCGGCGTGAAGCAAGACATCGCCTGGGCCAAGACTATAGCTGTGCGGCTAGGCCTCGAAATGGCAGCAAGATCCCAAATAGTGAAGGGACGGAGATTGGTGTTTCTGACGGATAATACGACCACAGAGGCCGTAGTTCAAAACCTGAAATCAAGACATGTATCAGTCAACAATGAATGGAGGATAATCCAACGGAGATTAGTCGAGCTTGACTGCGACCTCAAGGAGAAATAGGTGAACTCACTGGCAAACGACGCCGACGATCTATCTAGAGGCATTAGAATCGGTCGAGAAGATCAAGATAGGCTGCAAGTTGAGATACCGCAAGACTTAAGAAGGTTCATCAAAGCGTCCACAATTCCAAACAAAGCACCAACAGTTACGATATGTCCAGACCCAGCAGCAGCAGAGAAAGGCCTAACTTCAAGAAAGCCGTGAATGAGATAGAGGACAAGGAGGAGAGGAACATTGCTAAGCACATGGTGGGAGGAGCTTGGGCCGAATCAACTTTGCAAGGCTATAGCAGCGCGGTCGCTAAATTCAAAGAGTACATACTAGATCAGAAGAAAGACTGGGAGAAGGCGGTTCCGGTGAAAGCGGTAGACGTATACGGTTTCATAGTTTGGGCTGGTCAGTCGGAGGCGGACAGGGATACGGCAGCGAGGAGGCTCATCAAGTCCAAAACAATCGTCAAATATTTAGCAGGCCTCCGAGCCTGGCAAATGGCGACAAAGCTTGTACCCCCCAACCTAGACCAACGCGTGATCAACGCTCTACTCCAAGCAACGGAAAGGGCGGAAGAGCAGATCTCACTAGAACCGGGCAAGACAGACGGGAAAGGACCGGATGGAAATGAGAAAATACTGATAATGCTACGTGAGTTGATTGGGCTGGTATGCGATCTAGCGGGTAGGACAGACGTACAAGAAGCCATAGCATTGGCAGCATTAGTCGCGTTCTGGGGCATGATGCGCCTAGGGGAGATTACGCGCCAGTTGAGATCAGAAGGGATGTTAACTTTTGGCGACTTAAACTTCAAAGGTTCAGGGGAAAAGAAAGTGGCAATACTGACCTTGTGGAGAGCCAAGACAGCGAACCCAGGAGAGGTTCAAATAATCCGGCTCCCTTCGCAACCCTCAATTCTGGACCCAGTCGCGGCGCTGGAGAGACTGAAAGCCCAATTCCCATCCCACAGACCCGACGATCCGCTATTCGGTTTTGGAGCAGGAAGATCAAGGGTGCCTCTTTCAAGACGTTTGTTGATGGGAACCCTGGAAGAACGTTGGGGAGCGGGAGGTGTGAGAGTAGGAGGATGGTCCGGGCACTCCTTCCGTGTAGGAGGGGCATCACTGCGTTGGAATCTCGGCTGGGAAAAAGAGCGGATCATGAGGCAAGGTTGCTGGAAATCAAAAGCAGTGGAATGCTACCTGAAGGAGTACAGCGAGGCGGAGCTGAGAGAGGCGAAAACCCTTCTGTGGTCAATAGACAACCGGAACAAGAGAGAACCAAGGGCATTGGAAAACGGTATTGGAGGAAAAAGGTAAGCAGAAATCACCTCCCAGAGTTTTTAAAAGAGATGGAGGCGAGGAACTGAGAAATGATCGTTTATTCAGTACAACCAAATAAGTTTCAGTTAGAGTTTAGCCAAGGAAGAGGGTAGCGGAACTCAACGACAACACCTGTAGCCAAAATATACAGACCAACCGTGCATAAGAAGTTCCTATAGGAGTAGCATGTGTATGAATTGTAGATCTTCCGAGGAGGCTCAGCCCAGTATGAGGTAAAGCTTGTGAAATAAAATTCTACTCGAGAAAGACACCTGAGAGAAGTCTCGGATTGAGAGAAGCAAGAGAGTCCGTAGCTGCCACCGAGTTTGGGGCAACTCACCATACCGAGTCTCGGTAGAAACTACGGCAGATGGGAGGTGTTGAGTTGCTCCAAACCGGTAGCTCACAACGGCCAATACGGAAAACAGTCATTTGGTTTGCGAGGGCAGGAAAGTTTTCCGACCCACGCAGAACCAGGGCGGCCTGCGGCCCGCCACCCCATAAAGCTCCACCAACCTATGAGGTCATAGGAGGGGGAGTTTCAGGGTGGTATATGTGAGTAATGCACATATAGCACAGAACTAATGTGCTTAGAACTAAGTAGAAACTTAGCCACTCAGGATGGATGGTTATTTATCACAATGATTCAAGGTTAGAATTCTTCCATTGAAGCTTTTCAAAGGTCCCGCAAACCTTCCAAACCCTGATGTAAGCTGGAGGCATACATCAAGTTGTGGATTCTGAGTTCTTTGTGTTTATACAACAATACATTTATTCAATACAACATCTATTTTGTCTGAAGATGAAATATATACTCAATAAACTGCTGTTCAAAATATTCTCTACTCAATCTTGCTGATGACCCCCATAGACCTGCGAAGGTCCTGCTTCACCCTTTTTGTACATGAAGATGAAACATGAGGAGCCCTTGTAAAAGAAAATTGTACTGAAAGGACTCCAACTGAGAGTGACCAATTTTCAACTTTACTCTGTTTGGTTCTGATTGCTATGCTTCCAACACAAACACAAAATCCTTGCACAACAAAGGCCAAGTGGACCAATGATCACGAGGAATACAGGATCAACTTCTTGATTGCTGAGAAGCAGGAGGCACAAATGGCCAAGACAGGGCAGAAGACTTTGACATGGGAGACATGCACAAACAAGCTGAAAGGCAAAGAGTGATGCAAAAGTATTGAAAAGACCTTTGACCATTGCCAGAGAAACTTTACCAAGGATCTATGTACCATGAGGTTTTTATGATACCTGATATAGAAGCTGATTTTGTCTCTCTTTGCAGCTCAAAGGGGTGTTCTATGTTGTGAAAGGGTTGAGCAAGTACAGTGGAATGGGGTGGTGCTATGCAGATCAAACCCCTGATGTCTCAAAAGCTGTGTGTGCTAGATTGGCAGAAGATGACTCAAGTGTAGCCAAATGGGCTCCCAATGGCATCAAGTGCTTGAAGTCCCTCCCTGCGGCTGGATTTGGAACGCTCACTTAGTGTAAAAAGACAACATGCTGATTGCATTTCTTTATGATATTCATAAAATCATTTTTTATTTTACAAGAGGGAGTACCAGAAGAAGAAAAACTGTGGGATATTGAAGATTTAATTGAAGAAAAGAGACAGAATAGATAATAAAACAGGGATAGAGAACTTCCAATGGTATGATTAAGAGATTTGAATCTTGCGCGTTTCCTTGTCGACTTTGACTTTGGGAACTTTGACTTCTAAGACACCATCAGTAAAGCTCGCTTTGATTTGATCATGAGTGATAGCTTCAGGGACGGCAATTGTGCGACTGAAGGTTCCAAAGGATCGCTCAGAAACCTGATAATACATTCACCACGTGCTCGTCAGGTCAAATTGTTGGTGTTGGGGGACAAAACTAAGGATACTTACTCGGACATTGCCGGTGGAATGTTCAGAAGAAGACTTAGTTTGACTGCTAACAGTAAGTCGGCCGTTTTGAAGGTCAATGGAGATATCCTCTGTGTTGAAGCAAACTCATCAGATCAAAGTCACTCGGGCACGTTTGCAGGAATTACGATCCTACACACCTTTTTTAGCACCAGGTAATTCAGCCGTCAAGATGAAATCGTCACTTGTTTCCACAATATCAATCTTTGGGCGAAGTACTCGGCTGACGATGCTTGAACCTTGCTTTTCGGCTGAGCCCGAGTTGGGGCCGTTTCGATTGGAGCTTTTAGGGCCGTTGGGAGCTGGGCCGTAACGATCGGTGACCAGTTTATCAAACATGGATTCGAAGTCATCCCATTGAGTAGGTACAATTAGAGAGTAAGACATGGTGAGTTGTCAAAAAATGGGTTTGCGAGTGAGAGTATTTGATTGCCTTTGAAGCGCTGGTAGATTGCTAGCTATTCGATGATCTGATGATTACATCGCTCTGAAGGATGCTCCTTTTATAGACGAGAGGCGACATATGCCTCATGGAAACCTGGTGATGGCAGAGGTTGCAGAGTCCAACGCAATCGATTGATCTACCACTTGATGGCTCACACTAGAAAAATCTAGAAAAGCCGCTGAGCAGCGCCACACCAAGTTTCACCGAAGACTTAGATAGCACCCCGACGAGTGTATCGTGGCCCTCGGTACCCGGACCCATCAACTTCATCAGATTAGGCTGTACCCGGCGAAAGTGTCGGTACCGCAAGTGTCAAGCAGAAAGTGGATTTTTTGTATGCGATTCTTGACGCTCTGATCCAAACCAGACTAATAACATGAATCAACAAGGTCGAGAATTCGCGAAAATCTTCGCACAGCAAGTCAAGAACTTAGGACACACCAGTGGACGACCTGGTGGCTCTGGAGGTGGTAATTTTGGAGGTGGACCTTCGGGGATCGGGAAAGCATTGGGGGGAGCAGGTGGTTTGATGTTGTTGGGAGGTGCTGCCTTGACCCTGAATTCAGCTTTGTTCAACGGTATGTCCGTATTTTCATATGATAGAAATCTTCGTGAACGCTGAAGCCAATGCCGAAATAGTCGACGGTGGGCACCGGGCGATCAAATATACCAGACTTCATGGAGTGAGGCCCGATGTATATAACGAGGGAACACATTTTGTGGCAAGTGGCAAAGTTGACCCTTGATTCCAGACGCATTTGATTCTCAAGCTTTAGATGGTTCGCTTTGGTTCCCTAGATTCCATGGTTCGAGACTCCGATCGTGTATGATGTGCGTGCCAAACCTAGAACGATTGCTTCCTTGACTGGTACCAAAGGTGTGTATCTTCAATTTGGATCTCGATCACTCACAAACACTAATATTTTCATTCTCCTTAGATCTACAGATGGTCAATATCACTTGCAGGGTCTTGTCACGGCCGAATATCGAATCACTGTCAACGATTTACCGTGAGCTGGGGACCGATTATGACGAGCGAGTCTTACCCAGTATTGTGTAAATGAGGAAATTACTACACGTCCTATGCGCTAGCAAATCACTGACCGTGCTTTGACTGGAACAATTTTGAGCGTAGAAACGAAGTTTTAAAATCGGTGGTCGCCCAATTCAATGCGTCCCAGCTTATCGGTCAACGAGAGATGGTATCTCGACTAGTGCGAGAAAACTTGACACGCCGGGCATCAAGATTCAATTTGGTTCTCGATGACGTCTCCATCACCCATGTCACATTCTCTCCTGCATTTAGTGAAGCGGTTGAAAGTAAACAAATTGCACAACAGACTGCACAACGTGCTGCCTTCTTGGTAGATCAAGCGATTCAAGAGAAACAGGCTACAAAGATTCGCGCGCAGGGTGAAGCTCGAAGTGCAGAACTGATTGGTGAGGCTGTTAAGCAAAACCGAGGTAAGCTCCATCGCATATATCTAGCATTTATTTATTACTGACTAGTATGTATGAATCTCTCGGGTCTTGACAGGTTTCCTGCAGCTCAGACGTCTTGAGGCTGCTCGTGATATCGCCACGGTAGTTGCGGGAAGCGGCAACAAGGTTATCTTAGATTCGGACACCCTGATGCTAAACGGTAAGTCTCACTGTTATTACTGAAGCCTTCAGTGGTGGCATTGAATATTGAATCTTGCTCCCTGATTAGTGAACGACGAGTCCTTGAGTCGCCAGAAAAAATGAATGATAACATTCAACTTTTATAATGTATCCAGAATGTACGGTCACCGTAGTGGTTACAATCACAGATGAGTCAAAGTTACCCACCAGTACCCACTAGCCCGCTTGAACAAAAAACCCCTACTCTTTCCTTGAGGTCTGGATCCGAATTCACGCTGTCTTCCATGTACCATGCCCGTTGCGATAACTTCTATTGAAATACCTAGTCATTATAGCTCCCCACCAAAGAATGAGGTCACCTTGTGACTTGACCATATGTATATCAAGATGTTGCTGAACAGAACAGCGATGCATGCCAATAACAATAAACTTGACTGATGCAGTTGGTTCTGATGGAAATCCTAACTTAACAATGTCACTCTTTCTGTGTAGGAATGACAGACTTATATTTGAAGTAAGACAGTGGGTGATGAGAACACCAATCTTATTTCCGTGTGAGTTGAAATCTCTTCAGTAGCCCAAAGATTAACCTTCTGAGAGTTCTCTGGTCAGAGTATGTATTGAGCATGAGATGGGGTAGGGCCACTTGGTGGCGCCCAGAGCAGCACATGTTTTCCACCTGAGATGGAATTTGGTGTGATCTCTTGTTCAGCGTCAAAGACCCCCTAGCATATATGGTGTACATAGGATAGTGAAGTACAATCTTGGCTGGAGCGTTGATGTACATATTTCCCACCACCACAAGTTGAGAATTGGTGGCCCTCAGGATATCAACACAGAGGATTATTATAAATTTCCCTGTACAATCTCTTGGTTCAGCTTTTGACCTACTTTTATTTTTGGAAGGACAATCTGAGGTCACCTTGGATCCTGATAATATATGTGATGAGGTTCAGAAGAAAGATGATTTGAGATTTCTCTTTACCAGTAGTGCAAGAATCTTGGCATTTATGCTTGGATTACAAATCAATTCCAACTTTGATTCATTTACCATTCTCACTTTCAGATTTTAACAATTATCTCAAATACCTTAACTTTTGGACTGATCATACATTTAACACTACAAGAAAGATAATATTTTCTGGGCAGAAAATTAAATTATTGATACACAAAAATATTGAGAGGCCAGGAGGAGAGCAAAAAATGAATAAAAATATGCATCTTGTTCCCTGCGTTGAGAACTTCACTCCGCATGTTTTTCCGTATTTTTACAATCCATATTGATAAGTGTACTAACAATCAACCTTCACAATCATCCAATTACAACCTGTAACAAGCACTGAAATTTGGCTCATTAGTGTTTAGAGAAACTTTTGATTTCTGAAAATACTCATAACTTTTTCAATTCCGGTCCAAAACGCTCGATTTTGGGTGCATTGGTAAGCTGGATTGTCCTCCAAATAGTTCATTATACGACCACACAGCATGCTGTTCT